TTGCAGTGAGATATGAGATATCTGGCAGCGACCCAGGTTAAGCAGCCTCTGCCACCCAGGGGAGCTTGTCCCCACTCCGGCACAGCCCCCCTCCTGTGGTGCTAGCGTGGAGCCTGAGGCCACGCGAAGAACTGGATTAGGGAACTGGCCCAAATGAAAAAATAACCTGCTGAAAGACAACGGTTATTTCCAGCCCAATCAGTTCCCCAGCCAAACGTACTCGTGCAACCACTCCAACTGCTGCTCTGGCGCAGGGAGGGGGAAGGTGCATGCATGGCAACCAGCAGCTGGAGTCAGGAAGAGGGCTGAGGCTGCCACAGAAAGAAAAGTGTATTAATCTAAATGCTCGTCTGGGGTTGTGGGAAAATACAAATCCTCTTTCTCAGCTCTCCAGTATGTTCTCCTTAAAGCACTAGCAGTCAAAGGAGAGTAGGATTTCAAATGCAATTTCAAGCCCTCTGAATGGATCAATCACTTCTAAATAAACATCTGCCTTTGGACTGCCTCTAGCGCTTTCACTGCCTTGTCCATCACTGTCTTTCCAAGATAAGGCGTGTGGAAGAAAGCCATCTCCCAGGCAATTCCAACTATTTACCAATGTCAAATTAATGCACTTGGAAGCAGAGCAAAGAAGAATTTCCTCTGTTCTTTCACCAGCCGTAATACTTTACATGCAGACCAAATCCAGAATATTAATGCTCAGAAGCACAAGTATTACACTCATCCCTTAAAAAACAAAATGCATTTTGTGATTTTGTTTAAGAAACCTCAGCTGAACAGCTGAATTTAAGAGGTAATTCCTGTCTTCACAGGTAAAAGTTTGGGTAGTTCTAACGAAACATTTAGAGATAAGAACACACTCACTATTTATACCAACCGTGCCATCACTCACAGAAAAGCAGAAACCAAAAAGTGTAGGCAGCGAATCTCTATGTACCTACTCATCAGTCAAATTTCTCTTCATTACTCATTTCTTTCCTAACACCTTCATGTCATAAGTAACCACTGATGACAAGATTGCTCAGTTTTATCAGAATATAAAACCATTTTGGCACCATAAAGGATGAAGGGATAACCTCACGGTTGAAGGGCTGTCCTACAAAGCAAAAGGTTAAAGGGCTGGCCTATGAGGCAAATCGTATAGACTATACACTCACATACAGTCTATGTGATTTCAATAGAGAACTCAAAAAACACATTCAGAAGGTACTTTGGCACCTGCAACACTCCTTCCTTTCCAGTGATCCAGCTTGAGGGGGATGGATGGAGAGTAGCTCCACCTCCAGTTTTGTCTACAGCCTGGAAGCAAGGAAAATTTTTCTGGAAGTGTGAACCAGGGATTTACTAACACCCAGGAATTTCAGTTCCTGGATACATTCTCTTGTCTGTTAGGCAGAAACTGGGCGGCACATCCTCCCCTTCCTTCTGCTCCCCTAGCAGCAGTGTTTCAGGAGAAGCTGTGATCTGGCTGCATAAAATGAAGAAGAGACTCTGAAAACTAGTTTTACAGAGTTGTTTGTGACAGCAGAACTCAAACATGCATTCAAGACTAGGTAAGAGATTAAGTCCAAGATATTCTCCTTTGTGGTTTTTTTTTTGGTGGTGGTGGTGAGCTTACACGTCCCAGCCCTCAGCATGCTGGCTCCTGTGGACTGCCTAAATACAGCACACAGGGACTTTGGCATTTAAAGCAATATTGTAAATACAGCACCTAGAGGAAGGCACATGACACCCCAATACCTGGATCTGAAATGCAAATCTGTTTTGGTACCTTTAATTACCACCAAAGGACTAAGAAAAAAATAGCATCAATCCAATTTCTGCATTACCTTTCTATGTAACCAACTGACTGCCTCCTCATCCATATCTCTATTCTTCCTGCAAAGTCCTCTCATTTTAAATATATTTCTCCCCCAACCCACAGAACCTCAATAATGCCAGTCTTAAAATGCTAACTAACCTCTGTTTTCCGCGTAGTGGCGATCCCATTGGAAGCAGCTGCATTACAATGGTTCTGAAAAAAAATCAGCATTTCTCCATGTCAGGACAAGGAAGAGACAGATTGCTTCTCAGATGTAAAAAATACAAGGAAAAAACATCACAGGGGATTCCAGTCCTCCCCAACAAACTTCACCTGGCAGGTGGTGGCAGGAGAGACACGTGTCCATTTACAGCTGTCACACTCACCCTTGTGTATACATCGTGAGCAGCTGGTAACACAGAAAACAGAGTTTTTGTAAGATGCAGGCACTCAATCTAGATTCAGCCATGAATGTGACATTTCAAGTGACAGAAAAAAGCACAAACCCAAGAGAACAATCTGGCAAACATGTAACGAAACGCATAAAACCTATAACCTGCATTTACCCTCCAAGCCTATTGTTCTGTTGTGCTTACTCTGAGGACAAATTTAGTATGAAATACAATCTGTGCTGAGAAGCTGAGAGTCATAAATTTCCAAAAAGCATGAAGCAGACAGAAAACTTTGGGTTTCATTTTGCTATGGTTTTCTCCAGTATTTAAGTGGCCAGGTAATACCTTTTAACCAGAATAGGGCAGAAACCCATCATGGATTATTTCACAGTTTGCCTGAACTTCTGTTCTGTGTGTGTAGCACTAACAAGTATTGCTAGCTTGCTAATGCTTTCCCCTACCAAAAAATACATGTGTTGGAGACTAGTTTGTCCCTATGTGGCTCTGCAATGCCTCTATCGGCATGGAGGAGAGACAAGAGCAGCACGGGCCCTCTCCACGCATGGTGAGAAACGCTCTGATTTAGAGAAAGACAGCTCCTTCCCTGTGTTGCTCCAAGGACAGGGAAGTGATGTGCCACCTCCCAAAAAGCAGGAGTTCAATTTCAACCCAGGTGTCTATGAATTAGCTTCATAGAGCGTTCTGAATGGGAATGCTGTAGTTACCTACAACATATGTTAGTCAGATCTTTCTAAGTTTTAACAACCACATATCATAAAGGGTTAGGTCATGTACTGGGCACAAATGCTTTCTACTGCAAGCTCTCAACAAAAGAGTGTGGCTCTGAAAAATGACATGTACAGAACAACAGGTATTCATTATTCCTATTAGCAGATTAGATATTACTTTCTGGTTTAATTGTATTCATGTTACCCATGGACCATATTTAAATTGTAACTGGTTCTATTAAAAAACAGCTCCATAAAGCGACTTCTACAGAATCTCTTGACTCCTCTGATCTAGGTCTTATCCTGAGTAGCAGGGGCCCACCTTTTTCACAAGGACAAAAAAGATTTTAATGTCATTGTGACATCCTCTATTATCTCTTCAGGCACTCGTCATAAATTCAGTCATGGTAATGACTCTCCTACAGCTAGCTGCCAGGGTCCCATTAAATAAAAGAGTCATTAGAAGAAGTAGCTTTCTAAGGACAATAAAAATGAGAAGAAGGAAATGGGCCAAGAAAAGGGATTTGATTATCTTTAGAAAAATATATTTCCTTAATAAATACCAAAAAAAAGAATGATCGTACTCCAGTCCCCCTCCCCACACACACATACACCCCTCAATGAACTTCAATAGGAACCAGGTTCTTACTTTTTCAACCAAAATGTTTGTGTGATATTCCAAGAGCTTGAGGACAGCGATGCTTCAAGAACTAGACAATCTGGAAAAATGTGACTGTTAGACATATGCTGCATATTACGAGAAATAACTGTAAAAAAATAATTGAGTTGAAAGTTCACGTGCCTTCAGCTGTTCTCTACATGTTACGCACCTTCTCCAATAGATTCACTCACACTTTTGACTGATAAAAATAACTAGATTTTGTCATTCCATAGCACCCTTCAGTTGAGTTATTCCAAGACTTTATACACACTCATTAATTATGCTTGATGCCACCACTACATGATATACAAAATGTTATTATCAGGATACAGATAAAGAAATGCTACCATGGAGCAGGGATATAAAACCATTTCCTGAAAAGTACACAATGGTATACAGTGGCTCAGTCAGACCCCAAATTCAAGCCTTCTAACACAACAGACTGTTCTAATGTGAGAGACCCCAACATACCATACTTTTCTCTCTTTCTGTCTCAGAGACTTAGTTTCAGAGTTTTCTTTTGTAATCTATGCAGTAGCAATTTTCATCCTATTTAAATCTTTCATGATTGCATGAGTCAATTTGCCATTATTTCAGCTAGCAATTACTCTACCAACAATTCACTGGCAGCTGTGGAATGAAAGAGTATCTTCTCGTACGAGCAGAATACCACATCGAAAAGTAGACTTAGATATATACCACTTAAGCCATGGTCCCTTTCATCTGTGTGCCTGCAGATGTGTATGTCTGTGAAATGAATGACTGTCTGAAATCAAATGAAACCCATGTGTGCAGACTTTTCTGGCTTCCCTATGCTAGGAAGTAGATAGCTTTTAAATCCGTAAAAGTTACACAGATTTAAAGTATACCTACCTTGCAAAGGTAGAGAAAGCTTTGCTTTTATCAGAGGCTGGCTTGTTCAGATGAAAACCAGCTTTGGTTACATCTACATTGTTAAATCAGAAGTATGTCCCAGCTCCACATGTCAGCATGGCACTTGGGTGTTCACTGCAAAGGTCACCTGTACTGCTTGTTAGAAACAGCCCTTGGGACTGTTTGTATGCTTAAATACCTTACTAAATGGATAGCAGAGTCCGATTTTTTAAAGGTGTTTTAATGCTTGAAGATGTGGATGAGCATACACAGACATTCTGAAATCCTTCACCAAGCACCTATTTACATCTCCAGATATCCATGTATCTGCAGAAACCTGACATGTTTGGCACAGAATTGCCTAAATCACTTGACAAGATCATTGTATGAGAAGGGTCTCAAGCCATGAGCTACTGAAAAATAGTATTTTACTAGGAGTAGTAAGTAAAAGCAAGGAATTAATCTACTTCTGGCAGCACTTGTTTTCTCTTTTAAGTTTGTATAAATACTTCAAAAACAACACTGTCAAATATGGTTTCCTGATTTTGTCTATGTTGAAATTATGAAACCTATTATTTTCTGTATGGCCTGGGCTGACCTTTCAAAATGCAACAGACTGCACCGAGTAGCAGGTATTTTAAAAAAGTGTTGGTTTTTTTTTTCCAGAAATGATACCTGAAGGAGATTTGCAAGTGCATCTTCTTATGAGACTGAGGTCACTTTACACGAGGTACCATAAATAGTCAACACAGCTTCCACACTTGCATTATACACTAATATATCTCTGCTCATAGGAGCATGTGAGTGGCAATAATACCGGTGGGCACAAGCTAAACTCACAGCTGGTTAACACTGTCAAAGGGCTCATATTTGGCACAAACCACAGGCAAGGCGAGCTGGCTTCTGTAACACTATAGTCTGAAAACCTGCTAAAGGAGTAAGAAAAAGCCTTAGTCCAAGAAGACAGAGAACTAAAGCAATGTACTCCACAACTATAAGAAAACATGGCTTTTCGGACTGGGTCAATAAAGGACATTCTTTTATTCTCTAATGCACTTATTCCTCTTAAAAATCCACTAATAGTGTTTACTAAAGACAAGCTTAATAGACGAGAATACTCATGGATATCACTCTAGCTGTCACCTGCTAGTGACAAAGTCTTTTCTTCTTGATTCCCAAATCAATATTGGGCAGAAACTTGACACAAGACTTGTATGGTGCCAGAGGAGTTTTCCCTGTACAAAGGCCATAGGATGATCTCCTGAGATCCCAACATTCCAAGGAAGCTCCTTCAGGGGCAAGGCTGCCTGAGAAAGAAAGCTCTTTGCAGCACTGAGCTCTTCAAAACAACAGGTCATCATAAGTTCTGGTTAACATTTCATTCCTCTTTCTACACAAAGATATTATTAGAGAATCAGATTCATGCAGCGCATTACATGTCTTTTGGGCTATATTATCTAGGAGAAGATAAAGGAAGCCATTTATCTGAATTTTCTGTTTCCTCTTCAAGTCACTTAAGAGCACATGGTATCCTTGAGCTTGCTATCTTTGTACCTCAGTTTAGATTAAAACTCTCTTTTGTATTCAAACATAAGCAACTTAAAAAAGGTACAAGGTCAATCTGTACTAAAAAAGCTTTGTGCTTCTATCCAGACCCTTGGAGCAATGCAAGGGGGATATTTTCCTCCTATCAGTCAAATAAGACTCTAGTGTGAAGGATTATCATCTGATCTTTGAGACCAAAGCCAAGAGAACAGCTCAAAAGTCTAGACATTCAGTAATTTACCACCTCATTCTAAAACTCGTAGTTACCCATAATATGCACGAAACAGATCACATGCATCATGCATCCAATACAAATGGCTCAGATCTCTAATTCTGAGAACTACTGGTGAACAAAGCACTATAAGAATTATTGCAAAAGGATACAACCAATAATTCAGAAAGATGAATGAAATCAAGTAAAAAAGATGTACCAGTCAAATTGTTCCTGAACCATGTATTTTTCTGCTAAACTTCTACAGGGGACAATCGCTTTCTCACAAGTGTCTAAGTCAGGTTGAAAGACTTAATTGAACGTTAAGATTATTTACTGTACAGACATTCATAGTCAGATTCTCCTTTTACTTATGCTAGTACAGTTTCTTGCAAAAACAAATTCTGTTTGCAGACGAGAGAAGGGTTAAGATGGGTTGTCACAGCAGAGCACTGGACCAACACTGCTTCCATAGCTCCAGCCAGCTTGATTGTCATTGCAGCTATCCTAAGTTTCCTTAGACAGTGATTAATGGCACCGTGTCAATACACTCCTAACACTAGAACACTGCACTGCTATAGGCTGTACTGAAGAAGCTGCTTCTAGCCATAGGCTAACATGTTTTATTACTTCTAGAAAGGACTCCATATTAACAAATCTTTAATTATCAAGAATAGTGTGACTATACTCAAATCACCTTGACAAAACAAGAATATTTTTTTTCAATGACAGTTAATAAAAAGCATTACCTACTCTCACACTCATTAGGCCTGTATTTCTGCTCAGTTCTCCTTGGCAATAAAGGACAGTGAATAAGCATTCAATACATGTAATAGTAAAACATACCATTATCAGTTAGCACCAGAGTAGTTAGATTGCAGAAACAGGATGAGTTTTTCAGCACTACATTTTCATAAAATATTTCAACAGATGTTACAATTTTTATCACACAGGAAGTAAGGATTTTGCTTATGCTTGCAGCCACAGCAACCTACAAAAACAATAACAAGAATACAACAAATTTCTTGTAATACTTGTTAAGTTGTCACCTTGTCTTTACAGAAAACTACAAACTATGAAATGTACAAAACGAAATTTTTTGTGGTGGAAGCAGACAATTCACTAACCAGCCTCCCAAAGGAGAGGGCCTCTCCCAACTGAAGCAGCAATACAGAAGCAGTCCCGAAAGGAACAGCATTGCTTAATTCCAGAAAGTAAATGGATCTGTAAGGTACGTTAGAGGAGCAATCTGGAATAATTGTGGATTTTAAAAAAAGAATTTTGCTATAACAATGTTATATGCTGTTATAGTCCCTTAAAAATATTGGAGCAAGAATGTACAAATACTCATAGAGAGACAACGTTTGCATCCATAACCAAAGTGCACTTAATTATGAAACAGAATTTGTCTTGTAATGAATTATCCTTTGTTTCTGCCTGAGAGCGCTTTACAAATACGATCACATTAGTGCATTCAATCAGGAAACCAGAAACAATAGCATGCAGATTGAGTGGCCAGTCACAATACTTGATAATCAAATACTCAAGGCTGTGTGTGCAGTGAACAGATACCAAGTAAATACTAATATCAAACACTTAAAGACGCATTTGTGTTAACATACGTGTCCCAGTAAATGTTTTGTAACTTGTTACAAAGCTCAGAACTTATACAATGCACTTGATCTATAGTCACTGGAAATATTAAAATAGCTGATGAAGTGATGTAACAGAAATGTTGCCTTTCTCAGCATAGTGAATTTTTGACTCAACAGCACGAAGTATAGCTTCAGGATACATTTTATAGGAGAGAAAGAGAACATGTATCTGATTGACACATTCAACTTACTGGCATTTCCAATACATTTGCCAATTGTTGACGTAGGAGGGACTAATACATGGAACATGGTGACAATAGAAGGGAAGATGCAATAAGCGACAAAATGACACATTTTAAGTCACAATAAACAAACATGCATAAAACTGGGTGTACATACCTGATTTTTGGCAGGGAAACTTAGTAGGATTTTCAGATCTTTATCAGCTGCATGTGAAATGTTATACCAACCCTTTATGCTGTTGGAACGTGTACAATTTTCTTTTAACGTGCACCTAAAAGCATACATAAAATTATACAAGCCTCCTCATTGTGGCTTTGACTTCAGACGCTGTACTTCAACTTATTTGATGTTATTGATTTTGTACAGGAACACTATTGATTTTTTACAGGAATATAGTTATAATTGCAAAAAGCTTCAGGAAAACAATCAGTAAAATCTTCTGCTTATCAAAATAAATTACAATGCATTGATATATGCTCTAGGGTCCTGATTAAGTCAATGAGACTCAAGCAAATATTATATGCTTGGCCAGTAACAGTGGACTTGGTAGCCTGGGATGCAATTCATCACCCCCAACTTGATTGCCCCATTTTACAGCTCTAGATCTGACCCCCCAGTTCCCTCTGCACTCAATTCGGAGAAATATGCTCTTTCAGGGTGCAATTCACCTAACCTATTTTAGACATTCAAACAAAAATGAAATTAATCACACTATAAAAGCTGCTTGTTTGCTCCAGAAGAGTATAAGTGGAGATGGTGGTGAAGCTCAGATGTAGAGCTATGCTACGAATGTGTATAGTTGGTGAGATGCATCCCCCTTCCTAATCTCCTCTGTCGTCCACTGATGTGAATGGTAATATTTCCCTTTTATATCAGTGCACTTGGTTAAAAACACTGGGTTTGAAAAGATGGTTAAAAACACTGGGTTTGAAAAGATAGTTCAAAATAGATTTTTCTGTCTTCAAGAATAAAATCAATTTCAGAAGCAGGATGGCACAAAGTAAATAAAAATGTTACAGATGCCAAACTGTAGGCAAAGAAACTATACAATGGAAAACTAAGGAAGAATGAGGAAACACTGGGATATACAAGTACTACAAAGTTTACACATATTAAAAACATGATAAGAAAAAGAGAACATAGGCATAGAAACTAGATGTACAATCACTGAGTTTGAAAGCTGAATCCTTAAAATACTGTCTGCTGTGAACAGTTAACAAACAATCCAGAGATTAACTCCAAGTAATTTCATATAGCTAGCAATTAAAGGTTGGACGAGATGATCCTTGAGATCCCTTCCAACCTGGTATTCTGTGATTCAGTTAAAGACAAGTAAGTGCTAATAACTGCATATATCTTAACATTTAATACCAAGATTGAATATTTATAAATAAATGTAACATTTAATATTGTATTAATACTACTACTTTTCTGCCAAATGTAGAAGCATGTATAGCTTCAATCACATGATCAGTGGCACAAGCCTTAACGTACTATTCCTTCACTAAAAACTAGAAATGAGTACATGCTTGCAAAGCATGGGCCTTTTTCATGAGGAGCTCAACGTATAAGCATATTTCACAAACAATGTGTTTTCTCTCCAGAAGGAATAGCACAAGAATGACTTTCAAGAAAAATATCCACCGCTTTCCAAAATGCCCGAAATAACCGCACAAACCATAGAAACCATAAAGCCATCTTCTCTGTAGATCAAGACGTTGGCAACTGGAATGCACTCAAGCACTGGGTCACTTCCTTTGTGGTCTAACTCAGGAAACCGAGTTCCTGCTGCACAAGAACCTAGTGGGGCTTTGCATCTGAACACATTCAGACCATAACTACACTGTAAGAAACTGGGACTACGCCTGACATATTTCAGACTGTCTGAACTAGGAAAAATTTCAGTCTCTTTTATATCTCTCTTCACATTACTGAGATCACGAAGGTCCGTTGCCACCACAGTTTTAGAACCACAGAGGATGGGATCTGTCATCAACAGATGTGCATAAACCAGACACTTGGATACGTACAGGTAGGTAACTCTCACTGGCAATGAAGTGTGAGAGAGATACATCCTGTAGTTTCTGACAGGCTGAGGACCATAATGTTGAAGATGCAAGGCACACACTTTCAGTACTTGACACCGAGTGAGTCTATGCATTTCAGTGACACTAATATTAAAATATTTTTTAAAAAACCCTGTTTATAAAGCTGAATATTTAAAACTATCCTAGGACAAAGTTATTTGCCACCTTAGACTGCCTGAAGAACACAAGCAGTGAACTTATTTCCTTCATCTACAATGAAGAATCTAAGAGTTTAATAGGAAAAAAAGTAATGTCACTCAGGGCCCAGGGTCATATTTGTCTTCATAGCAGGAAAAATGTGCCTTTTGTTGCTCTAATAGCTGACCTTTAACACTCAAACAATGTGCTAAGGAGAATGGTCATTTCGTAGGCGGCAGTCACAAAGGGGGCAGTAGAGCATCTGATGCCCCTTGGCATAAATTCTCACAATTGCCCTGCACAGGCCAAGAGTGACATGAATTCCACTCAACTAAAGATTATTTTGTTATATCCCTATTTTTAGTCAATAGACACTGTTTGGAATTAATATAGCAGATAAATATTATTTGTGAACCACTTGAAAATTAACATACAGACTTAGACAACTACTAAGTCTGGCTTTCTTGGAGAGATGGACTGGACTGGACTGTGTACCAGTGTGAAGGTATAAGGTATGAAACCCTAGAATCAGATTTCAGACATGCATAGATATGTGTACAAAGAAAAGCAGAGTCAAGGGGTTTTTTGGTAATCTTTCACAGCAAACTACTTCTTTGTACCACTAAAGGTTGCTCTTCACAACTGCAGTTGAGCTCCTGTTATTTCATTATGATAACATGATACCTACGCATAGCAGCTCATTCTCATTTACTTAAGTCTCTGCTTCACTAATCTTGTATTAATTACAGATTCTACTGAGTTTGCCCTCTCTGTCTTGCTAAATTCTTGCTAATACTGATTTCCTCATGGAATGAGAACATGGTTTCACAGAAAGTTTTGGCTTCACTTTCCAAGGTACCAGCCCCTGAATGAAGTGCACAGATGTCACATACACCGACCAAACTAAACAGTGGGTCTGGTCATGTCAGATAAGTAAGACACATTGTGTTATTTCCATATGGAAAATACATGTAAACCATCAATGCTTTGTATTGGAATAATTTCAGCACATTTCAGGTAAATCTGATTCATCTATAGAAAACCTGTAAAACAAAAATCACACAATGCTATGACTAATTGTTTTGAATGATTGTAAGTGAATAGGAGAATTTATTTATTTGTCCTTATGAAAGAAAGATTAGAAATAGGAACAGTAGAAACATTTTGTTTCATTTTGTTTTCACTTGCAATAAGATGTTCAGATTTCTTCATCAGAACACTGGATGTGAGTTCACACTGTCTTTAAAATTAAGCACTTCTGGTAAGTCTTATTTAAAAAATGGGAGTGCATATTTAATATAAAATTTATTTCTCAGTAACAGTATAAGACATATCATCCATCTCAAAATTGTTATGGAATATATTGCTTCAGTGGACATGTATTGATTTTGATTAAAATACTGGCTAAAAATGTCTTTCTCTTTTTCTAAAGCTTCACTCAGAGCTCCCTCTTCACAAAACCAAATATTTAATTATGGTAAGTGCTTAACAGTAAAAAATTATTGTGGGTGTTGAATGGGATTCATGTTATAGTAATTCATTTTTTCTCCAAAAGAGTAAATTATTGCTGTTTCAACCAGGCGGAAACTTTCGGTGATTCCCCTCATAAAAAGGGACTTTTGGTGACTCCCCTCATAAATAGGGGATTTACTAACTAGTAACTGTTATTCACAAATCCTTTATAAGGTAACTAAAAGCCTGAAAAGCTTAGCATTGTAACATAGTTTCTAACAAGGTAGCAAAAGAGAGATTGAAGAAAACACATTACAGGATAAATACTTACTCTCTTCTAATAACTAACTACCTTTGCAAACACAAGTAGCAGGTCTTCAGCAAAATCACGTTAACATTGAAACAAACCAAAAGGGGAAGTATTAACCTCCTAAAAGAAGGCTACTAGTGGAATTCCTCCAAAATCGATCTTTTAACCACTTTCGTTTTATGCTTTAATCACTGATAAACTGGCCTAAAAGAAGGTTTACATTGTTGACATCTGCTGATGATACAAAGTTGGGAATGTTACCATGCAGAGGAAGATCAGAATAACACACAAGAAAACTTGGATAACCTTGAAATGGGATGACATTTCAAACAATAAAGTACAAGAACATGTACCTAGAGCAATAAAAATCTCACAACTCACATGTTTTATAGACCGGAAACTCATCAGTTGGAAAGAAAACAAAGAAAGAGAAGGACCTGGGGGCATTATTTGATCACGGATGATTGTGGCCCATCAATGTGATGCTGTCATGAAAAAGACATTTGTGATCCCAGGATGCACTAAGTTAGGTGCTTCCTGGACAGACTGATTAAACACCACTGAGCAAGGCACCACTGAAATCTCTTCTGTGACAACCCTGGTCATCCTTATTTTAAAAGGATGCATAAACTTCACAGAAGGGCTACTGGAGTGAAGTTAAGAAAGGAGTGTCTTATGTGAGAGTACCTCAGCGAAGTTTGCTGTTTCAGCACACCAAAATGAAAGTGAAAAAAGAGTCTGCTTTCACAAAAACATTGAGGAGACAAGTGTGAGGGAGGGGGGAAAACCTGTTTAAGCCAAGGTGATGTGAGCACCCAAACGAATGAGTATAACCTGCCCGTGAACACACAAGTGATGAAAATGAGCAGACAGATTTTAACCAGCAGGAAAATGACACTCTCAGATAGCCACACAACCATGGCAGGGAGGCAAAAAGCCCATCTAAATTTAGGGTGGTCCTTGATTAGTTTATGAGTAGGTTTGCATGATGTGGTTACTTGCAATCGCCAAGACTAGGCTTGATGACCCAGGAATTTCTTCAGTCCAGGCCAAAGACGTACAATAGCTTTCAAACCTGCTTCAAAGAAAGCAGCAAAACTAATGACTCAAGTGTGGGGATAAAGTGTTTAGAGAAAAATTCTCCTCTGGCCTAAACCAAAGGCAGTGGTTCCAAAGTAAGGAACTACGAATACTGAAGACAACAGAGCACTCTTTCACTGTTCTTATATGCAAGATGCTCCCAGCTATTAAGATGCTTCAAGCATGAGTATACAATTTTATCTCTCAATCAACCTTGACAGCAAAAACATCTGTTCCAAAACCAAAACAATTTTTTCTTCTTAGCCCATCATGTATTTTATGGGAAGATCTCAAAAATCTGAGGGTTAACATGGTCTTTAAAAGGTACAGAACTCCCTTTCACATGACAATAAAGTGTCTCACAGTTATGGCTAAGACTGGTTCCATAAAAATTCAGTAGATAAAACCTTGATGCTGAATAGACCCAAGCCAGTCAAAATGTACACAGACTGATAATGCATTGGTTTTATATGAAAGTCTAAAATACAAAAAAGTACCTTCGATTCAAAGAACACCACCCACAGTAGGGATCCTTTGCAGATAAGCATTCTTGCTCAGAAACATATCTACCGCAGTTTGCAACTGGTATTCTTCTCACCTAAAACCAAAGAATGCAATAACACACTGAATTAGAATAGCCTCCATCAACAGGGAAATCGAGGGTTACTATTAAAACTCTGACAGCAACCAAGCACAATCCCTTTGGGGAAGTTTCCTTACGGACTCCCCTCTGCCAGAAGACCTTTGGATAGAAATATGCAGCCTATTTTACACACGCTGTATTTTGCCATCAGATGATGAAACGCCTCTGACAATGACAATTTGGTTCTACTACTCAAAGGCCAGCATGGACAGATTAATGCAAGAAAGACTGATTAGCATATTAAATTATAGGTAACAATAGAAAGGAGGTATATATTACAAATAACGCTCTGCTTAGCAGAACACCGTTTTCCTCTCATCAGAACTGAGAATTTTAAATGATTGATGAAGGTGCATCCAAAAATGCATGCGCAAAACAAAATGCATCTGTGTTTGCATCACCAGGTCAGGTTACTGCATGTGCACACTAGAACAACCGCATGCAACTACTCAGCATGCATGAAAATGCCATTTCAATAAGTAAATGTAGATAATTGTGGCTATATTGTATGTAGCTATACTTGTACATTCAGCTTGAATATCCTAGCCAGCCATTTTCAGAAAAGGAAAGGAAAAAGAAAAAGAGAAAGCTGATTACAAATACTGAATACAAATACAAATATTGTTATTATAACAATGTTAATTAATACTTAGTAAGAAAAATACTCCTAATCCAAACCACTTTTTTATAAATTTGCAAGAATTAGAAGTTCCTACATTTTGTGAACAGAAACAAGGACACATGGCTTTCTGCAAAACTATATTTACTGTTTTTTCCAGCCATATCTTGTAAAATTCAGTTAGATAAACTGAAATTAACATTCAGATAGAAGGTGCGTGAGATAATCAGTTCAGAAACCAGCCAACATCATAGACTACTAGCAAGTTAAAAAAGGCAGTGTAGAAGCCTTATCTAAGCTCCAACAGATGATCAAAGACAGGCACTTATTCCTAAAAGCTGTTGTTCCTCTGTAACAACTGGCTCTTTTAACAAAGCTAAAGAAAATTCAAGTTTTTACATACACTTTTGACTGAAATTTTGATTCCTTCTGCATTTGTGATAGATGGTTTATATCAGTTAGGAGTTCTCCTACCAACTTACCCACTCTCTCAGATGGGAGCCTAAATGTTTACTGCTGGAAAAGTGATTTTACTGTAAGTGAAGTTAATCAAGTGCTAGGTGAAATCCTGTCCAGCCAAGATGGACAGCCAGCCCTTATGTTTTCTCTGTCATCTTCCCCACTGCTGGCTAGACAAAGGAATTCGCTGAGCTGATGCTCAGCAGCCCAGCTGCAGGATGTTCTGCAACAACTGCACCTGCTCCTGGGAGCCGCTCTCTGCTTGACATGCAGCTCTGACATGTTGGCACACATGCAGTAGCTCCCAGTGACTGCTGAACTCTTTGGCCACACTATGCATATGCATTAATCACTCCTGATTGCGTTTTTGGTTTGGTTTTGGTTTTTTAAAGTCTATGCCTAACTGAAGATTACGAGAATTTTATCATTGATTTCAGCAGAACTAAGACTTCAAACCCATCTCTCAAATTAAGAGATTTCTCCACATTAGAAATGCCACTATTGACTAGCAAACCCTGGCCTACCAATACCTGGATTGCTAATTCAGAGGAACTCCATCTCTGATGAGTCTGTAAGTTTTGTTTGCTACCTCCAAACTTGATTCCACATGATGCCCCCAGGAAAAAGAGAAACAAAGACTCTCGACAGAATGACATAAAGCATGGGATTAAGGGTGTTGCTGGATCATAGCAACAGTGGGCAGCACCATGACAATGGAACCTCTTCTTAGCTCTGCAGAAATGCAGCCCAAACTTAGACAACATAACCAGATATTAGACATAAAACTGGTAAATGCAGTTTGGATACTTGGGGTCTAACTCTGAGCCAAACTGATGCTTCACTTACAAAGTGGCAGAAATCCTTAAAGCAGCAGTTCACTTGAATTTATTATTTTATTTAATATTGTGCTTACCTTATTGGTAGAGGACAGATAGATGTAGTTATTATCTACTGGATCAAGTCGAAGTTTGGGGAAAACAGAAGTTTCTTCCTTAATTTCATATAAAACCTCTGGGCAATTAGATTCCATATCCTCATTAAGAACAGCCTAAAACACATGAAATTAAATTATTCACGAGTCCTTTCATTGATCACTCAGCACTTTAAACAAAAGCCTAATTTCAACTACATCAGAGCTTCTGAGATCATTTACTATGCCCTGATTCAATTCACCTACTGCACTGGCCCTCACACTGCAGAACGATGGAGGAAAAGACCACCAGAACAGATTTTCAACAAAATCCATGCCAGACACATTTTGCACTGAATCTGGCACTGGTTCAGTGTATGAAACAGCCCTCCCACCAAGTATGTTCCAGAAACCAAACGTGGAAGAGACGCCCATATCCCAAAGTCATAATGTGTTAAGTACTTCTATGAATGGAGAAAAAAGCATTAGCCTTCAGAAAACAAATTAACTTCCAGACACCCATAACGTAAAAAGGAACCCATCCAAGTTACTGACAACTGTCTTCAGGACAGAAGTTTCTTTATGGCTGCTGGGAGTACACATCTGAGGTGGTATTTCTTTTTCTTACTTTGCCCAACTCTAGTTTTCCACCACCCTTCGCACAGAATTCAAGAGAACCAGAGACCACAGAAACTTTGTTTTGCAAGTTAATAAGCACACCAACATTGACATAAGGTTTTCCATAAACATGACTAAACAAGGGAGATATGTTCATCGTCTCCACCGAGCTAAGGAGACACAGAAGACTTCGATTTCATTTTTCATTACCGAAAGCACAGTGAAATCAAATGGGCAAAAGTTTGCAAGGTCTCTACTATATTCCTCTCCAACTGCCCTGCTTAATAAAAACAAAAAACGAGAGTCATCCTTCGCAGTGTAGACAGGAAATGCACATTCTTGCAAAACCCAGAAAAAACCCAAAGCATAAAAGACATTTGACTGTATGGTTGAAAAGTTTGATAATGAGGTAAGACTTTCACTTCCAGGGGATTGATTTAAGCTAGCATAGGTCAACTATTCAGAAGGTAAAGCAAAACGAGTCTTGACTTTTCTCTTTAACGGACAGCTATTCACATCACACAGATAGGCTAACAAACAAATAAATATGCTTCCAAAATCTAACAATATTTAATATTTCTACTGGAAAACCAAAGCAAGGAAGGAAACAAAAGACAGAGTAACTGAGAACTCCACAGCCCACAGATTGATACTGGGGGCATTATCAGTTTAATGAAATGTTTCCATGAATTTTAAGCAGGGTACATAATTGCTTTTGAAAGCCCAAGTAACAATACAGCAGTTACTTCACAAACAAACAAAAAAGAAACGGAGACTCAGGGCATGATATCTGTTTATAATACACTGCCTAAACCAGGAAAAACCTACCCACTTGAACAGAGCAGCAACTGATGGAGAAGGGAAGAACTGCCACACTCAGCTTACCTTCAGTAACTGTCCATCATCTGTTCCCAAAAAAAGAACTATCTGATTCAAAACAACTGTGCCATAAACAGCCACTAATCCAGAGTGAACCAAGGTAGGTAATTTCTTGATTGATTGTGCCTCCTGAAAATCAGATACAAGAGAAAACTGTTACAAAATCATTCACCTATACCGCAAAACATTAAGAAAAAGAAAAAGAAGAATCCCTGGAAAGATTCTCAAAGAACTCAACTTTAGACAATACTTTGGGTAACATTTTAATGCTGACACAATTTCAGAGCAACACATCACTGGAAATGGTACATGAAATGTGAAGCTACTTCTTTTTTATACATGGCAAATGGTCACATCTGTGACAAAGACTACACCTACTGTAGCTAAATCACTGACGTCAGTGGGACACAGACTTGGCCTAACAGCAGCAAGTTACTTTGCAACAAAATTTCTCTTTTTTGGGACATAATGCCCTAGGCTTATTCTGAATTGCCAGTCCTTCATGAAGCCATGCCTTGCCATCACTTGACTGCACCTGCTACGAAGGCTATAGATACACTTAGCAACCACTTTTAAAGGCATGCAAATATTCTGGAGAAAAAAGGCACTTCAAACACACAGACACGTGGGGGGTGGGGGGTGTATGTGGGTGTGGGTGTGTGTCTGTCTGTCTCAAAAAATGTGGAGCTTCATCCTCCCCTTTGTGTTTCCTGCTTTACACTAAAGGAAGTTGAGACTTGTGTACTTCATAAATACAAAAATGAGATAAAGTAGTATAAAGTTCATGTCAGGGAAAACACGTGCATGTGTGAACTTTAAAATCAACATGTCACCTACAATTCTCCATCCAAGCTGAAAGAGGTTAAGTGACAAACACGTGTAAGCAGCTCATGGAAGAAAACATCATGCAGGAAAACCCTGTATCTTGTGGAAGGCAAAACCAAACCAAGCCAAACAAGCCCCACTGCAGATGATCAAGTGCTGAAAGGAAGCCCTGACGTGTGAGAATAAGCTCATTTACCAGGTGAGAGATGGTCTCTGCGCCGAACTCCCTACAAGCCTAGATACCTCCCTAGCAAGCAGTAACTCAGTTTTGCAGTCCTGTAAAAGTCAATCTCTGTGGCAGATACTGCCAAAGGTGTGATCACACCTGCTTTCCAAACGGGTCCAACCCCAGCCAAGCTCTACCTCCCCTTCCCCTACATTATTGTAATGCTTTCCAGTGAGCTTAGTTAAGGAAAAGATGTGCCTAGAAAATGATCTGTAAATCCATCTACCTTCCTACCTACCTGAATTTTCATTTAAGTCATTCTCCTCATCAGATGAACATGTAGCTGCAGAGACACTAGTGCTGGTACGAAGAAGCACCAGGCAAGGGGACGCGGGGCGAAGAGCTCAGGTAAGACCACATCCTTGGGAACAAGCCCAAGGTCAGCTTAGAAAGCCCGGCATCTCAGCCTCTAGGACAGATTCCTAAAGCTATGGGAACCCTCTGAGTGCAAGAATGTATTTCGCTTTAATGCACAAGTCAAAGTTCGAGAATGGACCATTAAAACTGACATTTTGTGGGAAGGTGAAGGCATTTCTCAAAGTTATGAAGCAAATCCATATAACACAGTAACAGCTGAATTCAACTCTTACATTCTAGGACGCTGGCTTAATCCCAAAAAGTCTTTCCTCATAGAAACAGTTTTTTTCTGAACTGCAATCCTAAGTAAATTAAAATCTTTTTCAGTCATCTGAATTATTTTAATTAGCTCGCAAGAGCAGCCACTTGGAGTAAAAGGAGACTTGATTAACTTTCATATTTAAAGATTTTTTTTCTTGCAGCAGGAAGAAGACACAGGAATTGTCTGTACTGGTACAGAACTTCAGCAAAACCCACTCAGGCATGAGACTCCAGTACCATGGGGGTCTGTTTTGGATATGGAGGGAGAAAGTGATAGCGAGCATTTCCAGGTGGAAAAAGTTAACTCACTTTTTTATTAGATCAGAGGGTAACAAAACTCCAGCACGGGTGCACACAATGAGCCTTCACTCAGGCTAAGGACTAAGGAGGTGAAGCTCCCAGGCTTTGATTTCCACCTGAATTAGGATTTTTTTTTTTCTGCAGTGCACCATATAGTAGCATAAGGAAAACAAACCACCTCACAGATTCTGTACAAGATCACTGAAGAGGGAAGGACTCACCCAGTCTCTGAAAAGCTTTGCTGCCAGATTTTATTTTGACCCACATACTAGTAAAATAACTAGTGTCATATCAGTGCATCCTCCTCATCTGACTGAAGAACCAATACTGACAAGTGTGGAAGCCTCCTCCCCTCACTCCGCTTGCTAGAGGGAGGGTCAATGCGACATTGAGCTAATACAGATAAGAAGAGGGGGAATTTAGATGGTGGGCAGTCACAACAAAAAATGCCTTCTCTCTTTTGCAACCCATTTCTCCAGCTTGCCCGTTCCCTCCAGGGTGCAGCTGCTGCATTCACCCTTCTGTCACCCCTTTTCCATGTGCATTTATTTCTTTAACAAGCCCTTTTACCTCTTCCAGTGTGACTAATGGGGTTACAGCACTGCAGGGCCTTCCCAAGGTTTTCCTCTCACAGCTAAATCCATCTTTAAAATGCATTTACAGTCTAAACTTCCTTTATACTAGGAGTGTCACTCACTCCCATGATCATCCATCTGTCTATCATGTAACATTTTCAGGCTCATACAAAAACAAGAAAAGCAAAAGAAAAGACAATACTGCTCTGGAAGACCTTTCTTTTTTAAATTCTTCAGTTCCACCCTTCATTCTATTCTATAGTCCCCCATAATCTTCATGTGCACAGGTAAGCCTAGAGATCTCCTGAATTAACTTACATTTTCCTTTGAAGTTCACACCCCCTCCCATGCTGTTCAGTTATTGGCATGAAAGGTATTTGTACTAATTTTCAATTTTGCATGTCATTTTCAGATTCATCTCCATATGATTCCAGCTGCAGCAACCATATTCACACCACTACTTTCTGTCTTGATTTCCTCCTGATTATTTTACATTGCATGTCTCAGAGGGAAAGGCAGCATTTTTAGCTCACTCAGCACTCAACATATTGCAGCTGGCCAAAAAGTAAAAATAAAGGGTTTGAGCATCACAGTGAATGAACAGATGCAGCTATTCAAAAGGACACAAGACTTGCGAGCAGCGTATAGCAATAGTCAACACTCGAACAATCCATAGATGTTTTCTTAGAGGGAAAAAAAACTTCTGGAATCTCCTTTTTCTTTCTTAACTTTACCACCCTTCAACCTCCTGCATCAATCGTTATTATATCAGAGGGTAACAGACTTAAATATTGGTGCATGCAGCGAGCCTTTACTAGGGTTAAGGAACGAGGAGATGAACTGTTCCAAAACTTCATTTCCATGAGGTTTTTTAATTTCTGCAATGCATAGCAATGCCAGGAGGACAAACCAGTCCAGGCAAGCAGACTGCAAAAAAACAGGAAATGAGAAGGTCATCACAGAGACCTTGCAAAGGCAAGATCCTGAGCCTCACGATGCGAGGCAGGAGGGACAGTCAGAGTTTATGTTTGGGCAAGAGGTTGATGGAGATTCCTGAGACGGGGGAGGCTAGAAATTTGTGACTTTTTGCAGCAGCAGAAACATTCCTTGTCTGCCCTCAGATCTGAGTCTACAGAATTGATAAAATGTCCTAATAACCAATGAGGGAGAACAAGCTCCATTAAGGAAGGCTTTGAAACCAACTGAGCTTGAACAGAGTATTAGCAGAAAGCAAGAGGAAGTGGTGGTTGATTGTGGTTGGAGACTCCCTCCCGTGAAGGATGAAGGCACAGAACTGATAAACCATCATGCTATTACAACAGGTTTCCTTTTTTTTTTTAGGGGCCCCAATCCGTTACATTGCAGAGAGACTGCCCATGATTCTCCATTCCTTGAACCACTACCCATTGTCACACATCCATGTGGACACCAAAGATACTGCCCAGTGCAGATCAGGACTACAGAGCTCTGGGGAACAAAGTGAAGGAGATGTGACCCCATGTTTTGTCAACCCTAGGGGGTCAGTGAAGTGATCAGCATCAGCTCTTCTGGATTTGCGACTCACAAAGAAGAACTGACTGGAGATGTGATAATCAATGGCAGCCTTCCCTGTAGTAACTATGAAATAACTGAGTCCAGGATCCTGAGGGTGGTGAGGAAAGAAAAGCAGAGTACAGAGTCGGAGACCAGGCTTCAGCTTGTTCACAGAACTGGTTAGTGGAGTCGCCTGAGAGGCAGCTGTGAAGGGAAATTGAGCTCAGGAAAGCTAGTAGGTCTTTCAGGACAACCTCCTCCAAGCACAAAACTCAAGAAAACAGGCAGACGTATCAGGACACAGCCCCTAGCTAAGCAGGGAAGTCATGACTGAACGACAATGCAGAAAAAAAAAACATAGAGGAGGCAGAAACAGGAACATGCCTGGACATGTAGGGATGGTGTTCGCAAAGTCCAAGCTCACTTGGTGTTGAAACTGGCAAGGGACGTTACGGGCAACAAGAAGAGCTTCTACCACCACATGAGCAATAAAAGAATAAACAATGAAAATGTGTGTCAGCTGCTGAATAGGTCAGGTGATTTACTGACAGTGGATACAGATAAGGCTCTGACTTCACCAGCAAGTTCTTGTAGTCCTTTGTACCTACAGAGCTTCCAGTACTGGAAGAGGATTAAGTCAGGGATCTCTTAAGAAATCTCATTTTATAGAAGTCCCAGGGGAACCAGATGGGATCTGTAGGAAGATGCTGAGAGACTGTCTGATGACACTGTGAGGCCATTCTCTGTATTTCAAAAGCTGTGGAGATCGGGGGAAGTCTCCAAGAAGTGAATAAAAGCAAATACTGCACCCATCTTCAAAAAAAGACAAGAAGGATGACCTGGGGAACTACACATTGGTCACTCTCACTTTTTCCCCACGAAAATCATGGAGCAAATCCTCTTGGAAGCCATTTCTAGGCACAACAAGAAGAAAGTGACTGGGAAAAGCCACCATGGATTCATTAAGGATAAATCACACCTGACCAACCTGATTGCCTTCCGTGATGAAGTGACTCAGTTTGTGGAGGAGAGGAGAACAGTGGATGTCATTG